ACTGACCGATGTAAATTCTCATGATGATGTTCTGGAAGGGCTCGTCAGTCTGAAATCGGCACACCCATCCTCTTCTCGAGCGCACACTTACAACTTAAGAGTAGAAGCGAAAGAAATTGCTTCGACCCCATAAATTACGATCTCGGAGTTTGATTGTGTGTCCACTCATAAGACCGGATCAGTATACAGTTATACATTTTTTTAAAGTAATTACGCTAACAACTTGTGATTTATATATATACACGCTCGCTGTCGTCAGTGAACAAAGTAATGTGCCTCCCGTAGAGTGTGACAATGGAACCGATTAAAAGCCGGGCAAAACCTGTTACCGTGTAATTATTGTAGGTATGAATAAAATATAGTTACATTTGTGCAGGACCATATCACTTATATACACTAGGCATTAAACACGCAGTGCAAACATGCGGATGTCATTTATTGCAGTGTGTAAATACACGAAGCTAAGCGTATAGACGTGAAGAAGCGGTTGCAATCTGGTGCACCGCTTCACCGTGTGTCGGCACTGCGTGTGTGCATTTACAGGTTGGGTCACTGTCCGAGAGGATCATCCAACGGGGAGATGGAGCGATGCAATTAGCTCGAGTGCAGGTGCTAAGCGGACTGCCACATCGCGGGACTGGTGACGGCTTCATCCAGCAGTGGATTGACCATGGCTGCTGCGTGTGTAGCCTCGTGCAGCGCACGAATCTCTCTGTGCGACTCCTCATCCGCGTCTCCCTGAGCTCTTGCTGGCAGGGGGTGAAGAGTGGTGCGAGAGGTCGTGAGGAGGTGATGGTGGTGGGGTTGGTGTAATGAGGAGGTAGCTGGGAGGTCGTAAGGAGGTGGCTGGAAGCTGGTGAGGAGGTGCGAGAAGATGTGCTGAGGCAGCAATGTAGCTGGGAGGTGACGATGACAATGATGGCGAGGTGGTTCATGTAAGGAGCAAGTGGACGGCGGAGTTGAGGAGGTATCTTGGAAGTGTTCAGCAGGTGGCAAAGAAGATGTTGAAAGATTTCATTGAGGAGGTAACTGGACAAATGGTGAGGAGGTATCCCGGTGAGGATGTGGACGGTGATGAAGATGGAAAGGTTATTGGCAGATATCCCAATGTTCTACGATGCAATCCGCTGCTGGATGAAGGCCTCCACCACTTCGTGTTGGTCAGCATGGGCTGGTGCTGTAGGGGTGCTACGGACCGGGCCGTAGCACCGCCACATGACGTGAGCCGTGGCCGGGAATCAAACTCGGGTGGTCGCCGGGCTCGGCAGCGGCAGTGCAACAACCACTGCGTAAAATAATATTCTGCACCTTGAACCAAGAACATTACCCATGATGTTCGCGCGTGTGTGTGTGTGCCCGTATTTTTACACATGTGCTATTCTGGATCCATGATGACTATTCAGGATACCTTTTTGTTTCATTACAAATACCGCTGGTTCCTATCTCAAACACAAATTGCAAACAACTTACGCTGCATTCTTACATTCGCCGAAATGATTTCGCTTTATCTCACAGCGAAATACTTTTTTGCCACGGAAGCTCTCTCTCTCTCAACTCGAGTAGAAGTTGCGGCCAACATCTCTGCGGCTTTTATACATCACCAACCCACACTGACCGGCGTGGTGAAGTATGGTCAAATAAGCCTCGCTGCTGCGTGGACGCAGTGGCGGAGGCTCGATCACCAACAGTGTGACATACGGGGGGGGGGGGTTATTTATGTACTTATACTATATGGCATTCATAATTGAGCCTGACATATATGGCAATTTTTGGTTAACATATTTGAGTAAATTGTATTAGAATCCTACATTTTAACGGAATCCACGCCGTTCAATATTAAATTTGGACCGGTTCGGTCGTCGGTGATTCCGTGTACAACACTGTCACACGCTCGCACGGCGCGATGATTGTGAACGCGTCCTACATATCTCACGTGTGATGCTCCTAATGCACACATAGCGTGTCCACACAGCACTCGTGTGCACACATAGCAATAATTCCCACAGTACTAAATAGTCCATAGCATGCACACACACTAATGGCAAGCATATCACACGTAGAATACGCACATAGCGTACACATATAGCATGCACACAACGCATAGCAAACACAGAACACACACAAAAGACATACATAGCATGCACACAACGTGTTTTAATAGTTCACACGCACGCACAGGCTCCAGCACGTGCGTTCACGCGAACAGCAGACAGGCGGACAGCATGCACTGCAGCTCATACCCAGTGCGGCATGCGCACGCACACACACACCAACAACACTCCTTCTGTAGCGGCGCTCACGGGTATGGTATGACGCGGCGTGCAGCAAAGTTTGTGTGTACAACAGAGGGTGATCCGTTTATAGATACCCCACTACAATAGCATTGATTCGTCGCTCTAGAGCGGAAAACGACGTTGTTTCACTGCCGCCACGTATCTCCCGCCGATGTAATTACGCTTACTATCACATTGTTTGACAGTCTACTCTGTAAGGACACGGAGCCATCACTTTCATGACATTCAGTCACCCGTTGAGACAAAAGCCAAGAGGCGGGGTGGGGTCAACAGAAATCAGTGTGGTATCTACAAATGGATCACTGCGTACACACGGTGTGTGCTTAGTATACGTAATCCGGCTGCAATGTATGTACTGGTGCTGTGTGTATACAATGCTTGAGTACACGGGTAAAGGATAGTACACGTACAGACGCCACAGCCCCTGTAGTCTGTAGCGACGTAAATCACACGAGTGGGTCTAGAGTATTTGGTGTAACTGTGTTGGCAGTAGCGCACAAGCGCAACTCAAATCAAATACAACTCAATACATTCGTCTTCAAATGGGGAAAAAAACATAGATGGTAGGCGACGTTTCGGGCAATGGCTCTTATCCATAGCACATGTCCCTTCGTGTGCTATTCAGAAGGGTCGTTACCCGAAACGTCGCCTGTAATATAGATTTCCATTTAATGTGTATAGTTATTTTCTGTGTATAAGAGGCGTAGAGCGGTGCCTTTCGCGCACTTTGGTGAGTATCTGGCGTTGAGTAACATGTTTACAGCGCGTAAGCGATGGAACAACCCCTACAGATTGACAGGTCGAGAGGGCACCAATTCAATAGGTTGGACCGCGTAAGGCATGCTTAGAGTAGGTAGTTGTAAACTCAAAAGAGTGGAGTGCAGGATAAACAAAACAACGTACAGAGCTATAGTTTGTGCTGATTCTATAGCGGTGTGAGTGCATTAGGGCGCTGGGCTGCAACAATCAACTTGGCCGGAGTGAACTCAGTCCGGCGAGTCGATTGAGTGGCGAGTGCTGTATGCAGATGAGTAAGCGCAGCGCTGTGTATAGAGTGGTGAGCATGTAGGTGAGTGAGCAGTGGGTCTATAATGAGTCTATAAAGTCTATAGAGTGGGCGAGTTGAGTGACGACCGCGGGTTTAAACGCGCAGGGAAACCACTGCAAGTCAACCCATGCGCTGAACCACCAACCCCTCCCAGTTAATTCACCACTCACCCACTCACTCATCCATCCATCACGCCGTACTCACTCTGTTACTCACTCACGTAGCGAGTACTCACTCAGCCACTCATTCCCAAACTCATTCACGCATCCACTCACTCAACCAGCACGTAATTCACTCCCCCACTCACTCCACACTCATTCACTCACCCACTCACTCATCCAGCACGGCGTACTCACTCACTCACGTAGCACGTCCTCACTCAACCAGAAGGTAGTTCACTCACTCCCCCACTCCACTCATACACTCACCCACTCACTCAACCAGCACGGCGTACTCACTCACGTAGCACGTCCTCACTCACTCAACCAGAACGTAGTTCACTCACTCCCCCACTCACTCCACTCATTCACTCACCCAACAGTGAATCACGTATAAACTCACTCACCCACCCAGCAAGTCAACATATTCACTCACTCCCTCCACGCATACTCACTCAACCAGCACGTGTCATCACTTGCATGCTTACTCGCACACTCAACACACGCCTTCTCACCCCACACTCACTCACCTACTCACTCCCTCGCCTACTCACTGACTCACCCAACACGCAAACTCACTCCACCCACACTCGCTCATCACTCACCTACACTCACTTTGACTCGACCGACAGGTCATTGTACGTATTCACTCACCCACTCGCTCAACATTCACTCTCATAGATGTAAGTCCTTGAACATCACTGGCACATTCACACTCACTCGACAACACATTTTTTCCGACACTCCATCAAGTTCATGCTCGCTGCCGCCTCACTCAATATCGCAAAAATCTACACAAGCAAAATCCACCACTTACTCTGCCAAAATCACACTCACCGACACGTCACTCACCTACTCGCTCACTTCGCCAGTTGTACAACTCATTCACTCACTCGCACCCAGTTCACACTGGCTCTACGAAATTCACACTCGTTTACTCACCCCCCCACTCCTCCTCCTCGACTAATGTCACACTCTGTGTGGCTCACTCAATGCTGAGACCACACCGGTCTCACTTCGCGAAACCAAATCCACGCTCGCTCGCTCACTTCTTCTAAGTGCGTTCTTTCACTCGCTTACTCCCTTGCTGGCGTCACACTCGCTCGCTCCCCCCCATTCTACAAAGTTCACACTCGCTCACTCACTCACTCGATCGCTCACTCGTTCACTCGCTCGTTCACCCACTCGTTCACTCACCACTCACCTTTTCGCTCACGAACTCGCTCTCCAACTCACTCGCTCACTCAATCGCTCGTTCACTAATTTAATAACTTGCTCAATAACTCATTCGCACAGGCAATCACTCGCTCGCTCGAGCGTGGACTCACGCACTCGCTTGCCCATGAACTCAACTCACTCGTTCAGACACTCGGTCAACTGAATCGCTCGCTCACTCAAAACACAAACTCATTCTCTCGCTCGCTCGCTCCCCGAATCATTCACTCACTCGCTCGCTCTCCGAAGCACCCGCTCGCCTCACTCACTGAATCCACTACTCACTCGCTGTGTGCGGAGAGAGCGCTGCCCCACTCACTGCTCGCTGCGTCCCGAGCTGCACCGAAGAGAGTGGATCCGCCGACTTGGGGCTCCTCCTCCTCCTCTTATTCTTCTGCTCCCACTGCTGCTGCTGCTCGCCGTTGGTGCTTCCACCGCATGCAGGGAAGTCCGGGCCGATGGCTGTCAGCTCAGCTGGGCAATGGGGCAGGGCGCGCAGCTGTGCTGGACAGGGATGAGTTCAGAAGTGCCGGGACGGGGCGGCACTCTGCAGCTCTGTAGAGGTGTCACTGGCAAGTGTCCCCGTCTGTCTCCCCGTGTCTAAATGTCTCTTTCAGTTCTAGTGTCTCTGTGCATCTGTCCCCGTGTCTACGTCCCTGAATCTGTGTACCTTTGTGTGTGTGTGTCCCCACCACCCTCGTGTGTTTCGGTCAATGTGTCTCCGCGTGTCTCCCCCGAGCGGCCCCGTGTCTCCCCGCGTGTCTCGTGCCCGTGCCGGGCGCGTGCTCGTCTCGAGCATGTGCGGCCCGGGAGGCGGGGCCCCGGGGGAAGCGGGGGGCGGGGCGGGGCCACCGAGACCCCCTGCGTTGAGGGGGGGGGGAGCACGCGGGGGGTCTCGTGGCACCGCCCCCTCTACGAACAGCCCCCTGTACCCCCCCACCCGCACCAGTCAATGCCGTTGAGACGTTTGCTATTGGCTGGCGGAGCCGAGCGGGGCGGTGCCCGATTTCGCCAATGGGAGCGGCCGGACAGCGGCATGGGGCCCCGCGTATGCGCTGTATGGAATCTAAGGAGGCCTGGTCACTGCATTTCCCAACGCAGATAAGCGGAGCGCGCGGCCGCTCGGGAGGCTCCTCCCCACCCGCCCCATTGGGCGAGGGCGTGGACGGTGCGAAACCAAGACCGCATCTGATTGGTCGCCGCGCTCGTCCATCGGGAGGCGCGGATGGTGGCCGAGATGAGCGCCCGCGGTGACGCGTGCCGGAAGAAGAGCGCGGCCCAGGTGACGCACGTGCGCGCCACGTGGTCCGCGGCACCCACACCCGCTACACGTGGCCAGCTACCGCGTGTGTACAAGGTCTGTGCACTGTTACAAAGACAAAGCTATAACCTCCCCCCCCCGTATAGGTACTGCTACAAAGATATAACCTCTCCCCCCCCCCGTATAGCCTTAACAGACTGTTGGGGCAAGCGCTGTTAGCGAGCAGCACCTATGAGGCCAGGCGCTACACACGTGGGGGTGGGTGGCCAGCGCCACGCCTGCCACGGGCAGGTGTACTTCAACACACGAGCCGTGTGCTGCTATGAGCATACAGTACTCGGAACATATGTGCTGCTGAGCATATGTACTCGCAGGAGCTGTGTGATGCTATGAGCACGTATGCTCACTAGTTGTGTACTGCTATGAGCTGGTGTACTCACGAGATGTAAACTGCTGAGCATGTGTACTGACAGGAGCTGTGTACTGTTTAGAGCATGTGCACTCGTACACAGGAGATGTATACTGTCCGGTTCTGTAAGCTGCATAATTTCAGGTGCTGTAAGCTGCATAATATGCATATTATGTGTTGTTTATTGTACACTAGCTTCACTACCCGGCTTCACCCGAGACTTGGATTCTTGTCTTGGGGGCCGTCCATGAATGACGTCACGCACCTTGGGGGGGGGGGGTCAGACATTTGTGACGATGTGTGACGAGGGGGGGGGGGTGATAAATGTGACGTCACACCAAAATACGCAACTTTAAATATAGACAACACGTTCTACTTAATTAAATAGACTTTTTAATAAATGTTTTCTCCTACAACATCAGAGTGCAGCGCCACATTAAATACGCACTACAATGACAATAGTTTGAACACCATCTTCGTTGCTCATTGGAGCAGGGACTCGTTAATGTGCAATTTTAATTAATCATGTATAGCCCACTGCTGGATGAAGGCCCTCCACAGCCCGTGTAAGCCTTGGGTTGTTTGACCATACTTCACCACGGTGGCAAGTGTGGGCTTGGTGAAGAGTGATGGGCCTGTGTGGTAGTGGATCAGATAACGCTCGTTTTTTGGGGGTTAGATCGGATAAATGTATAAATGTGTCGTTAAACCCGCCACCACCCGACACAGCCAACTAGTAAGGGGTTGTCACGTAAACAGAACGTGGCCAATTCGTCACTGGCACAGCACACCGGTGTGTTGGAGAGCCAAGCCACCACATTTACAATCTTGAGTACGACGTTTCGCCAGTAATTCCGACTAGCTTCATCAGGCGACAGCCAGATTTATATATTTATAGACCTCTTATGGATGATATTGGTCGCGAATGCCTCCTACGTGTAAAACAGTATTCATGTTGGCCGTGGCCGGAAATTATTGTCGGGAGTGGCTCGTGGCATCGTAGCGCAAGTGGGCTCGCCACTTCTCCCTCCCACGCGCGTGTAAGTAGCCTTTATATTGTCGGCCGCATCCGATCATTCTTCAGGTTTTTTGAGTAATCAGGAAAAGGGGACCTCTCTGGTGCGTTATAAATCAGTCGTCAAACGTCCCGCGGAAATGCGATACCTGCAAAAGCGGTGTGAAAAAGGGCTTGTTTTATTGATTCGCTCGCACACACTTATGACTAATGTCACTTGTAAGTTAAAGTGCCAATCCATATGTAAGAAAAATACGCGGCGGCGTTGTGGGTGAAGGCCCTTCTATTTAGCTGCGTTTATCGATTTACTGATTTATGCTTCGGAAAGCCACTTATCTAGCAAACAGCGTCACATTTAAATGTTTCCAACTATAGCTCAGCGTGGCCGCCAGCCGTAAGTGACGCCGTTATGAGATGTTGTTAGCCGTGCGGCGAAGTAATATGGAGGAAGGGTGTGGGGGGGTAAGAGACGCGAGATTGGCGGGCTGGTGTTGGTATGGATGGTGATGGCTTTAATCCAAGCGGTCAGTCACCAGGAGGTCCCGACGCAAGGTGGAGCCGTGGAGGTGATTCGGGGATGGGAACCTCTCGGTAAGAGGCATTCCGGGTAATTTCCGATCAGCACGTGGCCCTTGAATGCAACTCCGTCTGTGAGATCTTTACAACTGAACAGGACTGAACCTGGTTATTGGGTTTGTAACCTGTCTGGGAATGGCCCGGTGTTGTAGGCGTGGGTCTTGCGAGGCGATTCGGTATTTGCGTGGTGGCTTTTTGTCCCGAGTGGTCCGTTTTCTTCATTGATGGTTGTGACTATGCCGCGTGTAAATGCACATTTCCTTCGCGGAGTTTGGCGCGCGATTTGTTTTTTTTTTGTGTCGTGCCAACAACAAAAAGGCAACATTCGTTTCACTTGCAAACCGTAATAAATATTCCTGCTAACAAAACGCAGTCAATATTTTTGCAAGCAGGGCTTCATTTGTCAGAATATTTTCCAGCTCGTTGTTGATACTTGAGCAGCTTGGGAGGCATCACCATGACTCGGAGCCCCAGCCATACAGCATAAAGAGGTATACTGGATGCAGTGTGCCGGGTGCAGAAATCGTTTGTAGGATGGCTGATTTGGACGAATCCTCGTCATCCGATGGGAAGACTGGCTGTCACAAAGTTCCACGAGCGATATGAGTCGCATAAAAAGACACCGCCCCCCACACATCGGCAGTAATGTTCGTGTTTACTTTCATGAACGCCTTCTTCATGTATGTCACCACTTATAGGGTTTATTTCTGAAGCCAAGCCTGCGGCAGCGGCGTTAGTGACGGCGGCGTCGGTGACGGCGGTGGTAGTGGTGGCGACGACAGCAGGGGTGGTGGCAGTGGTGGATTGAGGTGGCGGTGGTGGCGGCGGCGTGTATGCGAGCTGGCGCGGGCGTCCGCACGTCCGGCTCTATCGATGTTCACCGCGCACCCGCGATTGCGCTCCAGCGTGTGCGCGCGTGTGCGCTGAATACAGGATCCATTCCTGGCTTATTTCACTCCTAATGAACTGTAATAACCAGTGCGCTGTAATTGCTTGTTAGCAATTAGGGACCCTGATGCACAATTTATCGCGGGCTGTTTTAAATTAGCTGCCGATTAAATGGGCTGCTCGTTAATGAGCGAGCGAGTGGGGCAGGACGTGCGGTGGTGGATTGCAGAGTATCCGCGGGCACCCTTTCACTGTTGGGAGCGCTGGGCTTTGAGCCGTATATTAGGGCTTAGCCGGCACTTTGTTGCGCTTAGCTAAGAATTCCCTTCTTGGTTATTACCGTGTCCGTGTTAGGTATTTTATATCCTTAGCATTTTAAACCATTAATTGCAGCATTAATATTCTAAATATGTTTTTATTCTACAGTACGCCGTGCGATATACTTAATCGTTCGGGCTCCCCTCCTCGCTCCGAAAATTTACGTGGAAAAGGAATATAATAAGCCTATTTACAAGCAAAGCATGTTTGGGTTGTACACACACACACACGTGCGACCGTCGACCCTCCGCGCGTGGTCGTTTTTGAGCGGTACGGTTGTGCCGCGCGCCTGGTGGTGTTTGGCCGCATCTCCGGATTTCTCGCAGGACTTTTCCTTCCTTGATCTGCAACGCCTTCACGGTCCAGGAACAGCTTCGGGCCCCTCTCAACTTGTTATTTTAGAGCGCGGAGGAGGAGCGCTGGGCGGCGTGGTCCTCTCAACAGATCCAACGATAGGGAAGGCGTTGGAACGGAGCGCACGACGTGCGTGTGTCCGCGTACGTCTCTGTTGAAACTCAGTGCCGTGTGCGGCTTGGAGTGCGGAGCGATGTGCACAACACCCCGGACGTCTCGCTCGCACGTAACGACCGCCTCGACTCAGACGACGCGATAGTAAATCCCTTTGATGCCTCCCTTCTCCTCGGCCAGCCTTCATCTTGTGTACATTATCAATCTCTGTTAATCGTGTCCTACGAAAAATATTTTCAACGGTGATATATATGATATGATGTAATTTTTTTGATGGGTTTCTGCCATGCGATCATTGCACCGTTTGTTTCCCGCTGTGCCTGCAGCCGATCTCCCCTCGCCAAAGAGACTTGGGAGTCGTGCTGGGCTGTCACTGGGTGACGAGTCGAGGTTCCTCTCCGCCTGTCTCACGATGAGTTAGGCCCGGGCAGATAAAAGCGGAATGCTGACCGCCAGGGGAATCCATCGCGAACAGCAGGACAACGTGCATTAGCGGTGCTGCTCTTGCCGGAGTGCACCGGCTCTGGTGTTTGTGCACGTGGTAAAGCGGACCTGTTGTAGACCGGGCTTGCGACTAGATAGCCTCACCGGGAAATTTGACCGATCCTCACTGTTCAAGTGTCGAGATCCGAGTCGAGCTTTATTTGCGTGTGTGTTTTTGTGACCCCATTTGTACGGTATTGTCTGCCCCGGTAGGCTCAAACTGACCTGAGCAAATAGTTTGCGTGTAATTTTCACGAACAGTAAATAATAGATTCTTACATGCAGGATTTGTCGATCTTATCTTGAATGTATCGTTTAAATAATTAATAATTCGTTGCATCGTTACGTGCCGTGGCATGCTGAGATGGTATACAGAGCTATGCTCGTAGATTTCCCTACGAAACAGCTTCCCTTGGGATGAATTAAGTTCATACTCCCTGTGCTTGTAAACAAGACAAAGACAAATATTCCCCGTATGGCCTGAACAGACTATTGGGGCAAGTGCCGTTAGCGAGCACCTATTAAGGCCGACGACATTGCACACGAAGGAGTGGGTGGCCAGCACCACGCCCGACCGCCTTTGTCTCCCCAGTGATGATGTTTACTCACCGCACCAGGTACTCATTTGAGGCGGAGTCGGCCCAGGAGTCTTTTTTGAACACACACACACGTACGTGCGTGCAGAGTCGTCCGTTCCCCCTACGCAAGCTCTAAACAAACACTTGCCCGCAGCACTTCTTATTAATCACACGGGCGGTCGTGCCCCGCGCTCGTGAAAACACAGACGTTCACGCACGCATGCACAGATGCGCGCGGGCGCATCCGACGGCGTTCTTCGCTCGGGAGCGTTCTCCCCGCGCGGCGCGGCTAGCACAGCGGAAGCGGTGATTGCACGGTTTCTATAATCGGCCAGCCTTTCCCGTTAAGCACCTTAAAGATGTGCCCGCGATGGCTGGGGCGGCGGCGTGCGCCCGCTAGCCGGGTCCCGCGTCGCCGCTGATGCTGCGCCAAGGAAGCGTCGTCGCGCCGTTATCTGCGGTTGCCTTCCTGAGCAGCTGCTAAATGGGTAACGGAACTCGCCTCGTTTAACCCCTGTGATTTTTTTGTTTTTACTTTCGAGCCTGCGTGTGCAGGAAGCCGCGCCGCCACCGTGGTGTAACGGTTAGTACACTGGACTTGTGATCATCCGGAGGTCGCCAGTTCGGTTCCATCTCCCCCTCCCCACATGGAAGAGGAGGTCGTACAATCTTTACAGGGGCTCCATAGAGGTGGAGGCCCTTCTTGTAGAAGTGGCCTGAGCAAGCAGTTGCAGGGCTGCAGATTTATCTGCCTGTGTGTTTAACTCGGGGGGCAAAATGTTCCGGCTGAACCTCTTAAATGTTTGGCCACTGTTGTCAGAATGTGGCTGCTGATGTGGTCGATGTGGTGACAGCGCAGAGCACGTTACTCTTTAAAACTCTCCTTCCTCCGTGGCCATAATTGGAATTGATTTGTGGATCTAAAATATGTCACTGGATTGTGTCCGCCGAGCGCTGGCACTGCGCTTGTATTTGAATTCATTGCCAGACTCTCGTTCGTCTCGCCGTGGCCACGTGAATGTTTGCGCTGTGCCCTGATTACAGCGTTGGGCACTGGTGAGGCCTTGCTGCCGCCCTGCTCAACCCCTTCCTGGTTAATTTTAGTTTTGTCTTTCAGATTTGTTTTCTTGCTCTCCCTCCCAAACTTAACCCCCACGATCTCAGAGGTGGCTGAGGTTTCGCGACGGTCGCAGCCAATGGGTGGCCACCAATGCGTGCTGTGCGTTATTGTGCAGCCCCTTTTGTCACTCCGCTGCTTGATGAGGGAATGCCCGCGCAGTGCGAGTCGTGGGGTTTATTTAGCCGTACTTCACCTCGCTGGGTCAGCACCGGTCAGTGGGGGGGAGGGGGGAGGAAGACGTGGCCTGTTGGGGGGTAGCAGGCTGTGGGAATTCCCTCGTACTCGCAAATCCTTCTGACGACACACAAACAAAACCGAATAACGTGCAAACGTCACCCTTTTGACCGCGATCAAAATCCAGAGTGTTTTTTTTTGCGTGGTCGAGCGTGTTGTGCGGCGTGCTGGAAATTCCACATTCATTCGATGGGGTCATGCATTTCCATAGGACTTCCACCGTTGATTTCCGCACAAAACCTCGCTCATTTTATCGATCGTTGGAATAACGGAACGGGCCGAGGCGACCAACCAGGCCGCAATTTGAACTTGCAACCCTTCTAATTGTGAGCGTCGCTCTCTACCACTCGAGCGCTTGACCCAGCCGCTTAAATGGGCGATGTTAAAGAGCGTGCCACGTTAACCGGTGTCAACACAGACACGCGCACGCGCGCACACTTATGTCGTCTTTACAAATGGAAGCGACAAGGAAGCCAAGAGCGGTGGCGATATTTTGGAATGGCGTGGTGTGGCGGTGATTACCCCCTCCACGATAATGGGCTGTTGAGAGCCTCCCCCTCCACCCGCCGGACCTCTCTGAGAGATTGCTCTATAAAAGGTGGTGTGGCACTCGCGGCCATTAACTCTGCGGCAGAGTGGAAACCTCGTGCATCACCGCCGACACGGGAGATGGACAGCGCCGGGCCTCGCCGCGGCTCCGTCACGTGGAGTTCCTACTCCTCTCGCCACGTCATTTCGTCGGCACGCCCGCCCGCATTTTAGTTCGGGGCCCGGGCAACGTCTTTCCTTTGACTGGAAAAATTTTCAGGTGCCTTTTTAAGGGCCGCCGCAAGCCAACAAGCAACGCCTCGGCCCACTGCTGTCACTGCAAGAGGGGGGGGGCCCTTGCAGCGACCCAAAAGGGATCAGAAACCTGGTGTTGTCGCCCGGTTGAAAATATGCCCTCTCTCGTAACCCGATCGTTGATAAGATGCTTGCAGCGACAGATGAATATTGTTTGCGGGCCATTTTGGGACGTTAGGTGCTCGTGTGGCCGCGGGCTGCGTGAAAGTAAGTTGTGGGTCACGTCCGGCCTGCAGGCCGTACGTCGCTGTATATAAACTGGTTGGAAGTTTGACCAGCCGGATGAAATATTAATAAATAAACATGTAATCCCATTTGCTAGATATTTAATTACGCAAATACCTGGATTGTGTTCCACTGGTTTATTGATCGATGGATTTAAATGTTGATTATTTTTTTGGCGATTAAACAAAACACCGCCATCTGTATGCAACCAGAGTTTGTGATAGGCTCGCATTTTTGGCACTGACCGTTCTTTCAGAGCAGAGACACTGACCGTGACGTTGAGAAAACTGGGACATCCATAAAACTGGGACATTTAATAAAAGTTGACAAACGGTGCCAGCGGTTCCCTATTGTGGACATCGCGTATCACACAATGCCTAAGAAAGTCAAAAACACGAGCGTGCCCATGAACTGATTTAAAATTAAAATGATATAACGTGAATATCAAACTACAATTTTGGAGACAATTATTTTCCATGTAAAATGCAGTTTTCCGTTTTCTCACTCCCACGACGGTGAGTTTATTCCCTCCGTGCACGCGCATCGCCGCTAATTTCTCGGTTTGTCTCTTGAGATATCCACGCCGTGCTCCGGTGCGGCAGCAGCGAGCGATGAGTCCGTTGCGAGGATCCTCAACTCTCCGTTTGCGTCGTTGGCAGCTGTGACTCGCGCGACGCCAAGAGGCGCCGCCGCCGCCGCCTCCGCTGATGCTGGTTGGAGCCGCCTTCCAATCCAGGGCCGTCGCCGCCTTCTGCTGCCGACTGTTGCACGCTCGCACGGTGGGTTTGTCCCCCAGACCCTCCCGCTGGAGCGATCGTCGCTCGGGTCAAGAGTTTGCGGGGCGCGGGAGCGCGTGGTTCGTGCGCGACTCGCGATGAGTAGCCCAGGTTTTGGGAATCGCCACTGGTTGGCATACTTGTCAACACCTTGTCAGTACCGACTTGTTACAGAAAACCAATTCAGACCTTGTTGGTCACCCCGTGCCCTTATACAGCCCTGTACAAGAATACGGGTAAACCGTATGGGTTGACAGGTATGCTGGTTGCTAAGGAAGCAATGGTTCATCGACTCGTCTAATTGAAACCGATTGCGACAGCGCTCACGATCCATGCGTGTGAACATTGATTGTTGATGATTTATGTAATTGTTATGCAAGTAATTTGTTATTTTCAGAATTGTGGAGCAAACAAAACTGCTAAAAAGTAACAGGAAAGACCAAGGAACAATACAAATGAGATCGTAAAAACGAAAACAAACAGGAATCGATTTTTTTTTATTTTATCGTGACGAATCGGGACAATCGGCGAACCGTGTTGGGGCACAGGTGGGAATCGCCGCATGCGGATCATTTATATTCTGTGATCATAATTCAGCGCGAGACACGATGTGTTTTTGAAGCACGCATTATCGATGTCAAAATCTGTTGAGGAAAAAATCTACAGCGGCTGCAAAACTTCCCCGAACACACACTGAAGTTTCCGTGAACCAAACGCATTCATTTTATCATCATCATCATAATCATCAGCAGCAGCAGCAGGCTTGGTCGACAATCGCGCGTAAAGTTAAGTCCCAAACCAGGTAACACTAAACGCATCTCAAATGAAAATGCGGTACGCATCTGGAACGAATTTTTTCACTTGTATTATTTGTGTTCAGTTTAAAAACATGCGTGGCCTCCCGATCGTGTCGCGCGGTGCACCGTGCGCGCGGATCGGCTGTAGCCGCGGCGTCGCGGACTTCTCCTGCCCGGATCTGGCGCCCCCCGTTGGCCCTCGCCCTGCTCTGCAGCCGCCGTCCGCTCCTCCGCCGCTCTCAACCGTCGCCCGCACCGCCTCCGTCCCCCGTGAGCTGTCGTTGTCTATACCGGCGGTCCCCAACCTTTTTGGCACCAGGGACCGTTTTCGTGTAAGACAATTATTTTCACGGACCGGGGTGGGGGTGGGCGGGTCATCATTGGGTCTTTCCCCCTTCTCAAAGAAGCTCTGCAGCGACTTAAAGCTTTCGTGACTGCAAGGATTCATCTTCTTTGGTTCTTTCGGTAAAGTCACGTAGAATGAGAATAAAATAATAAATTAGAAGGCCACTTGTGTTGTGGCCGAAACGTCGTGAGAATTTTATTGTGTTATTTTATTTTATTAATTTATTATTTTATTCGCATTCTACGTGACTTTACCGAAAGAACCAAAGAAGACTCTCCAAACGGTTTGTTTTTTGCACATTGTGGCTACTAGGGGTTCGCTTGTGGGCTTACCAACACTGTGACTGAGACAAGTGCGCGGTGCGGGAAAGAGGCGCGGATGGAAGTGGTAAATAATAAAGTAATGGGGGCGGGCCACGTGCGGACTCACCGCTCTCACCTCCTGCTGCTGTGCGGCCCGGTTCCTAACAGGCCACGGACCGATACCGGTCCGCGGCCCGGGGGTTGGGGCCCCCTGGTCTATGCCGTGCGAGTGCGTGCGTGGCACGTGCGTGGTGTGTGCGTGGCACGTGCGTGGCACGTGCGTAGTGCGTGCGTGGCACGCGCGTGCGTTACATACGCTGTTTGGTGATTGTACCGCGCGTTGTGTACACACGTACGTTGTATCCGTACGTTGTCTACGCGCCCGGGTTTCCACGCCCGGCCATGACTGGGTGAAGGGCGAGAGGTGGCTGTGTCTCCGCTTGTATCTTGCACGAGTGGGAATTTGACGTACATTTAAACTCTGTCGAGGGCCAGATAAGAGGGCTATTGAGGCCGTACGTCTGTCTGGTTTATTTTTAAGGAGACCTGAGTCGCAATAAATCAATAAATTGTAACGGCTCGCGGAGTGTCAAGTGCAAGAAATTAAAACGGGGTTAAACATTGTGACAGTGAAGGGGTTCTAGCATGTGACAATAACATGTATTTCATAAATAAGAATTTGACTGTTATTGCTCGTATCCTAAGTACTATATAGTGCTTAGGATACGGGCAATAACTTTGTACTGCTTAATGGTTTACCTCGGTTGATGTTAAGTACTATAATAGAGTTTTTTTGTCTATTTCGGTGCTGTTTATAACCTTGTGTAATGCATGACCCAGATCTCCATGAGAATAGAGACTCGTGGTGTCTTGATTGTCCGACCTGACCGGCATGACATTGGTTACACATCTGCTACGTACGCGAGTGTTTATTAGCGTGCTGGTCACTAAATCTAACAATCTCGTCCCCGTGGAAACCACACACACATCACGATCCTTTCATCGATTTAAAATCGGTTCTCCTGCTTTGCGATGCCTGCGTTGCATCGTGCCTGTGAGATCTCTTATTTTCAATTTGTATAGCACGGGGTGGAGCGGGGGCGCAGCGCGCTACGTTGTGATTCCCGGCCACGGCTAACCTCGGTGGCAACCGATATCGGAGCCACTGAAGGGCCTTCCCCTTTCCGCTTTATTAATCTGCTCTGACCAGCGTGGTGAAGTATGGCCAAATATTTCCCCTCCCCCCTCCCAACTGATATAGCATCAGGAGGCCTTCGTCCAGCGACAATTGAATCGCCCGTTATTGGGGCAGTGGCAGTTCGGGCTTGACCGTCAGAAGCCCAGTGGAAAGATTCGCGCTTTGGTTGAGGCTGCGTGCCGGTCGGTGCTGAGCGTGGTCGCGCGTGTGCCGGGCAGGCTCCGCCGGGATCCGCCAGCGTCCACCGGGGGCCCACGATGGTCGACCTGGTCGAGGCGGCAAGGGTCCGGGGCCCCCGCGCACCGTCGCCCTCCGTGCACCGGTTCCACCACTTCCTGGTGCTCGACTTCGAGGCGACGTGCGACAAGGACGCGCCGCCACGGCCGCAGGTCAGAGGTCGCCGGCAGCCGGGCGTGCACGGGTACATGTCCCCGGGCCCGGCACACCACGTCCGGTGTGGCCAAAGCGAGAAGTATACTTAACGTGTACCGGCTTACCAAGGGCCCGGAAAATATTCGGTGAGAAATTACGCCCCGGGTTAATTTGGAGCCTTGACTTTTGACGACGGTCATTACGAGTGCTATGTCTCTGGTTTGCTCATGCCCCCTGATCCGTCCGCTCCTCTCGGTGCGTCTCAGGGGGGTAGAGTTGTTGCACTCTGGCAGAACACTGTTCTGCGGAGGGGTAACTTTATATGCGCTGTCTGTTTCGTCTGCACTGGGGAAGTGACGTTGCCCGAAAGGTTAGCCTGCTCTCTCTGTGCTTATGTTATGGTGATTATGGTTACGTGTGTGTGCACCGTGAGCAAATGCAGCACTGCTAACACGGCCCATTAAGTTTAATGTGAATTTTCGCGTTAATACTGCCATGAGTCACCTCCAGTGTTGGTTTTCTTAAGAGACGTGCGCCAACAGTGGCCACAGCTCCCGTCGGTCGAACGGAGCCGCGCTCGGAGCAAAGCGCGCGACTCGCACCGCTTCCCACGGCTTGAGCAGGGAGCGTGGCGGGCGGTGGGGGGGGGGAGCCAACGGGAGTCGGCGGTGTGCGGCAGCGCGTCTGGTTCGCGCGAGCCGTTTAAGATTTCCCCGACTGCATTAAATTGCCGTAGCAGCAATAATTAGCGCTCCGAGATGCAGTGTTTGGCGCGCAAGGCGTTTTACAAATGCCGTGTAAGCGACGACCACCACGATGATGATGATGATGATGCTGGTAATAATAAAAACGGCAATAAAGAGTTTATTATCGCATCGATTGTTGTTCAGCAGGCAACGTATTCAACGCTAAGTTTAATCAATTCCAGGTTGCAGGGTAGGCAGAAGTAAATCTAAATAGTAAAATAAATAAACATAATTGGTGGCTCCGCGTGTCGACCTCGGAGGTGACACAACGGCAGAGGTCAAAGCGCGTCCGTTGTGCAAATGTATTTTTTTAAAAGCCGAGATTCTATGCGATGATTTCTTAGTGCATTGCTCATCGTCGTAACACCCTTGGTGTCCATCGTGCAGCTTTTTTTTAAAAACGTGAAAACGTTCTTCGGTGTGAAGCGCCGATCGGGCGGCCCTCCGGCGGCTGCCGTTTTCCCGCACGGCCGAGCCGCGCGAAAAAAAACCGGCCTGCACCCTCTCCGGTTTTTTCATGAGCGCCGCCACTCGCGAGCGCGGGGCGTCGATCCGGCGCCAGCGCCCGCGCGATCACTCACGCCGTGAAGGCTGTATTGTTTCACGGTCTCCCTCCCCGCGCAGGAGATCATTGAGTTTCCCATCCTGAGAGTGAACGGGAAGTCGATGGAAGTCGAGTCAACCTTTCACACGTACGTCCGGCCGACCGCGCACCCCGAGCTGTCCGCCTTCTGCACCGAGGTGGGTGCGCGAATTTAGAAACCCCGCCACCGTCGCCGCCACCGCACCTTTCGAGCTAATTGAAACCTCAACAAGCGCGGCACGGCTTTAGAAGCTCGCTCTCTGGCCCGCTCGCGCGCGCGAGCGCGTGCTGTGGCGGTGACTGGCCGCCGCACCAATTTGCAAGCTGGGCCTTTGTTTGCGCTCGGCCCGGCGCGGCGATGCCGCCGACACGGCGAGCGAGGATTGATTTATGCCGCGCGGGCTGCGAAAGGTACACAGAGCAAGGCACTAAAGAGTGGATATCGATTACCGAAATGTACCAGCAGGCGTCAGGTCGAACGGGCAACAGGCAGGAAATTAACAGGTCGTGCCTTTCCGTGGCTTATCTGTGAGAGCAGCAAGCCTACAGCGGTAACCCGCACGGTTTGTTTTTACTGTTACTGCCCGAGTCATTGTTATTGAGAGCAGTTTGTGTCTCGGCCGCTTTGTGTAGTGAGTGCGGCGTGGGAGGAGGAGGGAGAGGGAATTTACATCGGACACGAAGCGTAATTTACCCAGGATAAATTATGCAGAGATTTAAATGTTTTATTAAAAGGGGGGGGGGGGGGTGTTGGGAGCGCACGTGTTGTAAGATGCGCGTGCGTTATTCGCCACAAAAATTATGCCGACGCCGAGATATTATTTGTTAGATGTTTCGGGGTAAAGAGGCGTTAGAAGTGGGAGGGTAATTTTTCTGGACGGCAGTTTCTCTCCTTTTTTTTTATGCAGGTAATGTTTTTCATTCATCTATCATGGCCAATTTTATACCCGCGTAATAATAACATGCAACGGAATCGACCACATATTTACGACATATCAATAAACACTGTCGTTGTGATGCATCGATTCCTTTTAGATACCGACTTTGGGAATCTGCTGAAATTATGTGGTGGTTGTAGCGGCGGAATTGGTGGCGGTAATGGCTTTGTCCCCGGCTATTGATCGTCGCAGCTCACAGGGATCGTTCAGGACATGGTGGATGGGCGCCCCACGCTCGACCAGGTGCTACAGGTAACCGCGCCGCTGCATCGGGGACGAGACAGGCCTGCCACGGCTCTCTCGTGTGCGGAAACTTCACTCTGTCCGTCAACGTCTCCCTCCCTGTCCGTCCGTTCGAGTCGGGTTTCTGTGAGAGGCCGCCGGGTGGCTCGGAGGTCATGGACGCCGAGGGTCCTGGGTTCAAATTTGGGTTTCAGTGGCTGCTCTTGATTAAACCTGGGTTCTCATGTGCAGTGAGTGGATGGTCTTGGCCCGGTCACAAATAATTGAACAAAAAAAAAACCCCAGTAACATTTTACTTAGGTTTTGCACCTAATACGGCTACATTCTTGCTCTGAGATGAAAAAATATTGGTTTCACTGTCGTGTGACGTGCATTGTTACACTGAGTGGCAGGAGGGAGAATGCAAAACCCCCTACCGTATGGACCAGTGGTCACTTGAAGGGATCTCAGAGGTAGCTCTGTGTTATCTTCTTCCGTGGCCGTTCTCCAAAACAAAAGGGACTCGCTGCTCTGCGAGAGGTCCGTTTGGACTTTTAGGCTCCTGCTCTGACGCCTATCGTCGTTCAAGACCGCCGTCACTTGGAGAAGAGGATGCTCTTGAACCTGGGGCAGGGAGTCAACAGCACCTGCGGCTGGGAGAAGGGAACATTTATGCGCTCTGAAGACGAGACTTGGTGTTGAACTCGACGCCCTCCCTCTGGCGTCTTCTCCCCGACTTTCGCGACATTTGTTCCGTTAAAGATGACGAGGGCAGAGAAAACGCTGACGCGCTCGGCGTCGGTCGCGGAATCTCCCCGGAGCAAAGGTCAGGTCGGCAGTCAGGGTCACGCGACGGAGATCCCCCGCCCGCGCGTGTCCTCCTCCCCGATTCAGCGGCGCACGGGCACACACGTTACCCTCTCGTCGCGTCTCCCAAAGCAGCGTTGTCGCCGGCGCTCCCGACGCCCCCGTTGATGGCCTCCCCCGTTCCCATTTACAGCTCGGCATTCCTAAATTATAAATAATAACAATAAAAGGAGTAATAAAGCAGCAGCCGCCCCACTTACCCCCCCCCCCACCCGGCACGCTTCCCGTCTCACCCAGTGGTAATAGATTAATTGGGGCCGTTCCCGCGACTGCGTCGGCACTGGCGGCGGGCCCCGGGTTATTACCCCCGCCGTGAGCACGAGCGGCCCGCCGGCGGAGCACGGCGATGCGGCGTGCACGGGAGATTAATTAAACCACACTTTGATTAAGCAAATGAGCCCAGACCTGGCTTTTCCGAGTGCCCACGTCTGGCGTGACGGATGGGCGCAAAGCTCTCCGCGCGGAGAACTTATCAATCATTCAATTAACTGCGCGTGGGGGTTGGGGGGAGGGAGGTTGGGGGGGGGGGACTGGTGGGCGATTGGGGGTAGAGAAAAAAAAATGAAATGAATTAAAATGACTCTCTGAGAAACCGTTCAGTGATTCAAAGGCAGAGGCGCCGCAACGATTAATAAGGAGGGCTGGAGCAGCGGGGAGCGTGTGGGCTAGGCACACGCGGGCACCAGCACCACGGACAGCGCTGCACGCGGCACGGCCAGGGCCACACGTCCACCCTCCTCCACTCCTCACCCCTCCACACTGCACCGCTCCTCACCCCTCCACACTGCACCCCTCCACAACGCCAGCAGGAGGAGCTGCCCCAGCACACTCACCCTCATGCTTGCTCTCTTGACTCCCCCATACGCACTCCTACTCTCTCTCCTGCTCTCTCTCTCTCCTCTGCTCTCTCCTCTGCTCTCTCCTCTGCTCTCTCCTGCTCTCTCTTTTTTTTACGATCAGAAGAAACAAGAAGATGCTCGGTGTAGTCAGCACTTTGCTTCGTTCATCATTTCGGTTTTTTTTATGCTTTGCTTTATGTAACCCCCCCCCCCCTTTTAAATGAAAGATTTCACAATAGATTTCACGCTCTGCTCTCTTTACCCCTTCCCTCTCTCTCTACCTCCTCTCTCTACCCCCCCTCTCTCTTTACCCCCTCTCTCCCTACTCCATGTCTATGTCCCCCCTATGTTTTCTATGTAATAGTTGTAATATTATATATTAAAAATAAATTGCAAGTGCTGCATCTGCACCCAGCCCTTTTCGCAGTCCTACGGCCTCCGACGGGTAGCTCATATCTGCATGCAGAGCTCTCCGTCATCTGCCACCGAGCGCACGGCCTCCTCCAGCGCCCACTGCTCCTTGAAGGCCGGCACGGCGTGGGTCAGCCGCGCATGGCGGAACTCCAGCCACACCCTGGCTCCGACCAGAGTGCAGAAGATGCCCAGGCTGCTGGCCGGACGTTTCCCCTCCACGGCCACCTCCCTCGCCCTGTATACGGCGAGCTTGGTGTAGCCGACGAGCACGTTGACCAGCCCCTGAAGATGTTGGGATCCGTCGCCCTTTGGGTATCCTGCTCTCTCTCCTGCTCTCTCCCCCCTGCTCTCTCTCCCCTGCTCTCTCTCTCCTCCTCTCTCTCTATTTTTTTCGATCAGAGGAAAACAGAAGATGCTCGGTGTAGTCGGCACTTTGCTTCGTTCATCATTTCGGTTTTTTATGCTTTGCTTTATATAACCCCCGCCCCCCTTTTTAAATGAAAGATTTCACAAAAGATTTCTGCTCTACTCTCCTTACCCCTTCCCTCTCTCTCTACCCCCCTCTCTGCCCCCCCTCTCTCTCTACCTTCCTCGCCCTGTATATGGCGAGCTTGGCGTAGCCGAAGAGCACCTTGACCGGCCCCTGAAAATGTTGGGGTCCGTCGCCCTTCGGGTATCCAAAGATGAGGACCGTCGGGGAGATGTGGAGGCTGAACCTTAGGAGGATGTTTCTCAGGACCTTGAGCAACGAGTCCAGGCTCTTGCACTCCACGTATTGGTGCGCCACCGTCTCCACTTTACCGCAGGACCGACGCTCCGGGGACGTGTCTCTCCCCTGCTCTCTCTCTCCCCTGCTCTCTCTCCCACTCTGTTGCTCTCTGTCGAGCTCTTTTTTCTCCTCCCTCCTCTCCCCCACGAGGCTGTAACGATAATTCGATTCGCCAATTAAAATCGGGGTTTTTTTATTTTACGCTCGTGACGCGTGCGAGGCGCGGGACTCCGTTGGTCGTGCAGTAAATAAATAATTATCGGTCGCCCGCTGCAGATGGTGGACGAGTGGATGGAGAAGGAGGGCCTCCTGGATCCAGAAACAAAGTCCGTCTTCGTCACCTGTGGCGACTGGGACCTCAAAGTGATGTGAGCAACGTGTTATTTGTGCCGGGCGCCGGTGGTAGTTACACCGCCGCTGCTGCTGCACGTGGCTGCCGCTGCACGTGGCTGCGGTGATCCAGCGCTGTGGAAGCAGCAGCGAGGGTTGGTTGAGCACTGCACGGATGTTGTTGTGAAACTCCCCTTCCCGTGGGCATCAAAAGAGGAGCTGTACCCTGGCTTGCCAGGAGAAGCCAGTACAGCATAATGTGGACTCCACCTGTTCCATCTGTATGGGATAGAGTACCTAACCCCGCCGCCATCCGCCCCCCTGGCCAATGTGGGATTTCTCTGGGTGCTCTTCCTTCCACATGTAAATCCTCATTCATTGGCCCAAAACACCTTAATATAGTGAGGACCACAGAGCTTTGCGGGGGGTGGAGGGGATTTGGCACCGGCTCACCGCTTAGCTGCTGTCTTGCCACTCGTCTGTGCTTCCTCCTCGTCTGTGGCTTCCTCCTCGTCTGTGACTTCCTCCTCGTCTGTGGCTTCCTCCTCGTCTGTGGCTTCCTCCTCGTCTGTGGCTTCCTCCTCGTCTGTGGCTTCCTCCTCGTCTGTGGCTTCCTCCTCGTCTGTGGCTTCCTCCTCGTCTGTGACTTCCTCCTCGTCTGTGGCTTCCTCCTCGTCTGTGGCTTCCTCCTCGTCTGTGGCTTCCTCCTCGTCTGTGGCTTCCTCCTCGTCTGTGGCTTCCTCCTCGTCTGTGGCTTCCTCCTCGTCTGTGGCTTCCTCCTCGTCTGTGGCTTCCTCCTCGTCTGTGGCTTCCTCCTCGTCTGTGGCTTCCTCCTCGTCTGTGGCTTCCTCCTCGTCTGTGGCTTCCTCCTCGTGCCCCCGGGTCGTTGTCTCTCGACGCGAGCGAGCGACCGGACAATTTGTGCGGCGGCAGCAGCAGCAGCAGCGCAGTCCAAGGTGGGAAGTGCAATTCAAGTAAACGGCCCCTGGGCAGTGTTTTTAGAGCGACGCGTCCGACCCAAGCCCCCCACTCTACTCAGCGACCGTTAGCGTCGCCGCGCGGAATAAAAAGTGGCACGGCCCACGACTTGTATTCCTCGATGCTTATTCCGTGTGTCATGTCGTTGTTGGTCTCAGTGGAACCCATACCTGCTCGAGAGACAGGGCCCTTGCCTATAAACCTTTGGCAGTTTTACCAGCGTTGGTTCGAGCAGGCGTCACCGCTAATGAGACACTGGATGTTGATACACCAACGCAGGGTTCGCTTGTTCTGAATCAATGCTGCTGATTGTATGCAGTGCCGGAAGGCGGCGTGGCTGATGGGATGTGTAAAACAATGCGTGTGTGTTCGAGGTGGAGGTGAATTATCTTCCAATTGATTTTGTTTTTCCTTCAGTGGATCAGTAGAAATCAGCTTTTGGGGGTTGCCATCGCAGGTTTTTCAAGTTGATTTTGTTTGAGCGGGCGAGCACCCCGGGAGGCCTTGAGACCCTTGCTGGCAGGGGGGGGGGGCGAGCTGGGTCACGGAGAAGTCGAGAGCGAGAGAACAAAACAGCGCACGGCACCAACGGAGCCCAAACCAAGCCAACCCCACCCGCACAGAAACACGGCGTCGTTACAGAAAACAAGACTGCGTATTTTGCGCGGACACGAATAAACACTAAGCTTAAATACGTTCCCCGTTCGCGAAAAATCCGCGCGGACAAATTACAATTTTTTTTTAAAAGGTAATAAAACAACCCCTACCACTCCATAGTAAAACGATCGGTAAAGAAACATTGAAATGGGCTTGTCGTGGTAATCGCCCAGAGTATGTAAACAGACGAGGAGGGTGTGCGTCGGGTAGACGGGGATCCTTTAATCGGGATCTCCTGGGGACCTCTACCATGTTCACCGCAGTGGCTGGAGAGAGGGGGCTCGGGGGGGTGGTCTTGTTGTTCCGCTCTGCTTGGTTTAATTCTGGGCACAATGAGCGTCTCTGTGGGGGGGCCGGGAGGGGGGAGGTTGGGAGGGGGGGGGCGGGGTTACCGGGGACCGGGCCGGGTCCCCGTACCGTCGTGACGAGGCGGCGGCCTTTGTCACTTAACGCTCACGAAAAACGGCCGCTCGCCGTGAGGCACGCACGCTTTACGAGAGCGAGGAGAGGGAGAGAGCGAGGAGAGGGCGAGGAGAGGGAGAGAGCGAGGAGAGAGCGAGGAGAGGGAGAGAGCGAGGAGAGGGAGAGAGCGAGGAGAGGGAGAGAGCGAGGAGAGAGCGAGGAGAGAGCGAGGAGAGGGAGAGAGCGAGGAGAGGGAGAGAGCGAGGAGAGGGAGAAAACGAGGAGAGGGAGAAAACGAGGAGAGGGAGAGAGCGAGGAGAGAGCGAGGAGAGGGAGAGAGCGAGGAGAGGGAGAGAGCGAGGAGAGAGCGAGGAGAGGGAGAGAGCGAGGAGAGGGAGAGAGCGAGGAGAGAGCGAGGAGAGGGAGAGAGCGAGGAGAGGGAGAGAGCGAGGAGAGGGAGAGAGCGAGGAGAGAGCGAGGAGAGGGAGAGAGCGAGGAGAGGGAGAGAGCGAGGAGAGAGCGAGGAGAGGGAGAGAGCGAGGAGAGGGAGAGAGCGAGGAGAGAGCGAGGAGAGGGAGAGAGCGAGGAGAGGGAGAGAGCGAGGAGAGAGCGAGGAGAGGGAGAGAGCGAGGAGAGAGCGAGGAGAGGGAGAGAGCGAGGAGAGGGAGAGAGCGAGGAGAGGGAGAGAGCGAGGAGAGGGAGAGAGCGAGGAGAGGGAGAGAGCGAGGAGAGGGAGAGAGCGAGGAGAGGGAGAGAGCGAGGAGAGGGAGAGAGCGAGGAGAGGGAGAGAGCGAGGAGAGGGAGAGAGCGAGGAGAGAGCGAGGAGAGAGCGAGGAGAGGGAGAGAGCGAGGAGAGGGAGAGAGCGAGGAGAGGGAGAAAACGAGGAGAGGGAGAAAACGAGGAGAGGGAGAGAGCGAGGAGAGAGCGAGGAGAGAGAGCGACGGGAGTGTGTTAGTGTGGTGTTTTCGAAAGTGTGTGTATGAGTCATTGTGTTTACATGGAGGCGGTGTGGGAGAGGGTGTAAATGACATTGTGTGAGTATACGTGTGTGTGTGTGAGAGTTGTGGCGAGCTGTAGAGTAGTGGTTAATGCATCGCGTTACCAACCCGGCGGCCTGAGTTTGATTCCCGCTCACGGCCAACATCGGCGACATGTCTGAACCCAGGCTATGCCTCCCCTAAGCCGATTCAGCCTTAATTGAGCACCTGGTGCAAATGGAAAACATCAGCAATGCGAAGACAAAGGTGGCCGGGCGTGGTGCTGGCCACCCACCCCATCGTGTGCCGTGCCGGCCTTCGTAGGTGCTCGCTATCAGCACTTGGCCCAACAGTGTGTGAAGGCTACACGAGGGATCTTTGTCTTTGTAGGTGAGATTGTGTGTGCGTACATCTTTGCGTCTTCATATTCCCTACAAATACGCTGTGAAATATGCAGACTTTTAGCAATTAGCGCTATGTTGTAAGATAAAATAAAATACACAAACCCGTTTTTGTTCGGCTTGAAATAACCTTTAGTGAGCCCCGTCGCTGCATGGGGCTCAAATTAATTTCCTTTCGAAATGAAGATGCGGTGGCATTAACCGTAATAACGCCGTCACGGCCGGTGCCGGGCCATCGCCGTGCGCCCGGGACAGGGCGGTGGGGGGGGGGGGGCCATGCATGCCCGGCGGGAGCCCTCGGTGCCCCTCAAGTCGCGGCAGTGCCGCTTTGCCATCTGTTAAGCCGTCAGCGGCGCGGTTGGCGGCGGGGCGAGCCGGATTAAGATGAACATTTTCCCCCCCACCCCGCCGGCCGGCCGTCGGCCGGCCGGACGGACGGACGGACGGCGTGGCGGGCGCGGCGATGCGCGGCTGAGAGGCGTTTTGTGGTCGCGCACGGCCGACGGCCCGGGCAGCGGTAGATCGCTGCCAGCCGTCTGATCTCATTGCACACGTATTAGGGTCTTAAGTCGGGCGCTTTCATGCCCCGGTGGATCCCGGCTCACTCTCCTCCTCCCCGACGATGCCCCCGTCTCGGCGCGTCGTGTGTGCGCGCGACGGAGCACACGGACGGCGGTGGGAGGGGGGTTTAATAAATTGAAACCGGCGCAAATGAAAATCGGCTTAGCCCCCGGCGATCGGGCCGCCGTCCCTGTTAGCGGGCAGCCAGTGGAACGCTCGGGCCCACAATGGCGAAGCCGCGTGATAACGTTTCGCGCGCGCACGCGCTCGCTCTCTCTCGCCGCGGCCGTCCAAATCCAACAGGCGTAATGCCACTTTTAATCTGCGCGGCCTTTGTGGGCGCCACCTCGCCGCATTACGGTGTCCATTTCCTGCCCCTTTTTCAGCCGGACGGGTCAGTGCGTTTCATAAGGGGTTAACGCAGAAATTCAGAAATCCGCTCTCGGTCCAGAGCGAAACCCGGGCTTCCTTTTGTGTCGGGGAAGGGAAAGCAATCCCGTAAAGTAAATTGTTTTTGTGGCGCGTCGCAAGCACTCCAACACGGAAGCCGTGAACCGCGGTACTCCTGGAATTAATAGAAGTGAGAGTGGGAAAAGGGTTACATTACTCGAAATCCGATATAGAAAACAGAAAATTAAATAGGGACCTGGAGATTAGATATGATATGGAGGGAGCTGGGAGTGTTTTTTTTTTCCCGACTGATGTCCGAAGTCTTTTGTTAGAAAGTAAAGAGAAATTGTCACAGTGAATCGTTGCAGTTCATTGCCATAGCACCTTCTTCGTCATCATCATCGTCACCATCATCATCCGTTACAGCAATTGTAACAATTCTCTTTTTACCATTATCGTCATAATCTATTGCCATTTAAATAAATCTCATTCATCATCAAACATCATCGTCATCACCATCACTGGCATTGATTGCAACGAAAACCATTCCCGTTTCATCGCCACCTTCATCACCGCCGTCTACGGCAACACCACGATTCTCTCTTTCTCGCCCTCATCAGTGCCGTGCGGGCACGTGGTTGTCCCCTGCCGGGCAAGGCGCGCGCCCGTCGTATGCGCCGAGCGTTAGGGACAATCACGGCAATGCCCCCTCCGTCATCCTCATCGCCGCCGCTGCGCGCTGACCGCGACGCGATCGCCGGTTCCCGTAGCAGCGCGGCACCTGCCACCGCCTCCACGCAGGGGGAGGAGCGGTCTCGGCACGGCCCGGCAAAGGGCCGTTGCAGACCTCGCCGGCGGCGAGTTCTTTCCGCCGTCGACCGTGGACATATATATATTTTAAATATATATTCGCCGCAGATTAAAGAACGTTCCTCGTAATGGCTCCGTTTGTTTTCGGGAACTCGGTGGTGGTGGGGGGGGGCGGGAAGGCGCAGGACAGGAGGGGGGCGGGCGGGGGGGGGGGAGACAGGTGACCTGAGCTGAGGGCACAGCTAATGTTCTGCTCATCGCCATTAATAATTGATCAAATGCGGCTGTAAATTGATGAAGCAACGCGGATAAATAAGAGACACGATAGTTTATTAAGCAGAGCTATAAAGAGCGGGCCTCCTGCAGCAGGCTGTAAATTAAACTAAATAGAGGTTAAGGAATGCCGCATAATTACACCATTTTTAAGCACTGTGGCTTTTGCTAATGTACTTGTTATTTTTTTAATGCAACATAATTTAAAGGTCATAAAATAAATACTGCCTCATCGCACCTGGACACTAAGCACTTTTGCATCTTGTGTGTTTTTTTTATATTATCGTTCCAAATTGGTTTATGGTTAATAACACGCCAGAGTGCTGGGCTATTTGCAAACATATCATTTGCAGCTTAGTGCAGTTACTTTGATTTGGACGCGTTCTAACGGGGGAGTTTAAACATCTAACGCCGCTCTGAATTTTTTTTTATTATTCTCGCTCTCTCTTTCAATCTCTTGTCGGCCGGATTATCCAGGCTGCCGGGACAATGCAGCCACTTAAATCTGCAGCCGAGGGACTGCTACCGCTCGTGGATCAACATTAAGAAGGTACGAGCGAACGAGAGAACGACAATTAAGGGCGCTCGGTGTCGCGGCGTCCAGCTTAGCGCGCTGCCAGCATCGCCGGCGCTCTCCCGTTCTCGCCGGCCGGCCGGCGTGCTGCCCCGCGACGTTCACGTATTCACGCCGTCTGCTTGCACGCGCGCGCCTGTGTGTGTATGTACATACGTGGGAAGCGGTGGCGTAGTGGTTAGCGAGCTGCGCTGTGAACCCGGCGAGTTTGATTCCTGCCTGCGGACAACGGCGTTGACGGGTATCTGAACCGGTCGTGTTCCTCCCCTAGGTTGGCCAAGCCTCCAATGAGGACCTGCCGCAGTTTATTAACATCAGTATCGGGGAGACAAAGGTGACCGGGCGTGGTGCTGGCCACCCGCCCCCTCGTGTACCGTGCCGGCCTTCGTAGGTGCTCGCTTAACCGCACTTGCCCGCTACCCGCACTTGCCCCAACAGTCTGTTAAAGGGTATACGGGGGATCTTTGGAATATGTGTTTGGTGCGATTTTATTTTTTTAACTAAACTTTCTTTTTAGTGGGCTTTGCCGACTAAGGGGGCGTGACAACGCCGACGTCGCAATCCGAAGCGTTGGCGCGGGCCGCCCTCCTCCCCGCCGTGCCTCAAATGAACGCTGGGCACGGCGGCGGGAGCTGGCATTGTCGTGAGTGGCGTTCACTGGCGATCGGCGGGCAGTCCGGCGTGCGGATTGTGCCGGGGTTGTTGTTCTTCATTCTCAAACAGCCGGTGTTGCGTTACAAAGCGCGCGCGTGTGTGCGTGCATACGTGCGCGCGTGGGGCAACTGCTTGCGGTCGTCGAGGCCGCCCACCGCACGCTCCTCGACGCAGAAAGATTCCGCTCGGAGCGAGGAGCGCGGCTCGGAGCGAGGAGCGCGGCTCGGAGCGAGGAGCGCGGCTCTACCCGACCGTGCGCCGGCACGGGGCCACGAGCTTCTTTCAAAAGCCGTCGAATCCCGCGGCGTTGAGAACGCGTCCGCTTTCATCCGCTGTTAGGCTCCTTGATTCCTTAGCAGTCCGCTGCGAGTAACGTTGGGCCTAATCGACTCGTGAGCCGTGTGATTATCACGGTGGAGCGCGGCTCTGGCTACACCGGCAGCAAATGTCACGGCGTTAGCCGTTGTAAAGGCAACCGTACAAGTGGTGGGTCCGTAAATTGTTCACGTTAAATTTCCAAACTGAGATGGAGTGGTAGCGCAGCGGATAGCGCACTGCGCTCGGAGCCCAGCGACCGGCCACAGCTCGTGTCGGCGGAGAATTATGTCAAGGCACACTAACCGGAGTGGTGAAGTATGGTCCAACAAACCCCCTTACCAACATAGTTTGGGGGTACCATTCTTCCAGAAATGAGCTGTAAAAGGTTTTTTACTTAGTTTTTGAATCGTGGATGATCTCTGGTTGTGGTGTGCTGCACGCGCGAGTAAATGCCACCCTGAACTCGCCTCCGTCTCAACATTGACGTGCTCAGCAGCTACGCATCAGGCCATGGAAAACACAACACTAACGAGACATTCACCACCAAATCCGCCCCGAGCCAAAGTGGCAAATGCACAGCCACGAAGGCAAATCCGTGCAGGCCTGAAACCAACGGTAACTCGCGAACCAAAAGACATCGCTTTCAACATCGAAAACAAAACCGGAATCCCGGCGTGCCGTGCGTGTCGACATCGCCATCGTTGCGAGCGCCCTGCACACCGGCCCCGTTTAAGGCACCTGGTCAAGGGGTGGGGGGGGGGGGAGGCGGGTGTGGAGGCGGGCACCGGAAGGGCAAGAAGGGCAACACGGTGACCGTCTCGTGTCCCCGTGTTGCCACGGACAGTGCTCACCTCCGATTAGCGCGGATGGCTACGTACGGTGCGAAAGAAGTTCAACGTACGTACGTACAACTTCACAGCGACGCCCGCTCCGGTCGGAGGAGGCCCCGTGCGGGGGGGGGATGGGAGAGCACGACAGGACGCCCGCGTCGATCGCGCGCATTTAAAAACGCGCCTGACGCGCCCATCATTTATCAGCTGCGCGATTAGCTTTGCCCTGCCGATTAGCGGCATTGTACCGCCACACACCCCCGGCCCTTTCTCTCCGGCCACGTCAAACAGAAATCCGTCACAAGGGCCTGGGCAGGGGTCAAAGGCTCGGGTCGCCAGGCCCATCGATCCATATTGATGCCCGCTTGTGTCAGGGCGGCCGTGGCAGAAGGGAGCTGTGCCTGGTTTGGGGATTTTGCCCTTAGATACGAGGGCCGAAGGCAATCGCGGAGGGAGGAGGGAGGGAGGGAGGGAGAGAAAAAAAAACAGCTCGCTTGTTCTCAAATCCCATCCCAATCCATCCATCCACCCGGCACGCGGGAGGCACATGAGTGAGCTTAGAGGTGCAGGAGAAATCCGTTCTTTGTTATCCATCATCCGCTCGGCCCTCGAACAGAGTCGCCCAACTGTGAACGTGGCGGCGGTGTGTTGCGCGCGTGTCTGTGCGTGCGTTTATCCCGAGCGCCTCCGAGTGGGCTTTGTTGCGTCCGCGTTGGTGCGTCGGTGCACGCTCTCTCTCTCGCTCTCTCTCGCTCTCTCTCGCGCTCTCTCTCTCGCTCTCTCTCTCGCTCTCTCTCGCGCTCTCTGTCTCGCTCTCTCTCTCGCTCTCTCTCGCGCTCTCTCTCTCGCTCTCTCTCTCGCTCTCTCTCGCGCTCTCTCTCTCGCTCTCTCTCTCGTTCTCTCTCTCGTTCTCTCTCTCGTTCTCTCTCTCGCGCGCTCTCTCTCGTTCTCTCTCTCGCTCTCTCTCTCGCTCTCTCGCTCTCTCTCAGGTGTCTTTGTAAAAGTTTCGACATTTTCCTTCACCGGATTCTTTTATTTCTGTTGTAAACAACGCGGCGTCGTTACGCTTTCTCCGGCCGCGGCGGCAGTTTGAAAATACCACAGTTTGAAGCCCACAACCTACGCGCTTATTGTGCTTGTTATTACCGGGGAAACCGAGACGTTCAAACCGAACACGCGACCGCAGGGCACGATGGCATCGGGGGGCGGGGGGGTGGTGGGGAAAGCATGGGGCACGGGTGTAGGCATGGGGGAAGGGGAGGAGCTCATCCCACCGTCCCCCCGTGGCCACAAACACGCCCCCCCCCCTTCTCCCTAACAAATCCTCGTGTCACAGCGTCTTGCTCCTCAGCGGTCCCCCCACCCCCCATCACTGACACCGTGGGCCCCCCACTTAATTCGTATACCCATCGCTGATATTGTAATTACACTTGCTGAATATCCAATCTGAAATGGCCCCTCGTGGTTGATCGTGTAATTCCCATTATGCTGCTTGATGGATAAAAAAATGAATTCATTGGGGGTCCAGTCCACAAAGATGGGTGGTGGCTTTCTGAGGTGTTGTGGTTCAGCGGTGGTTGTGGTGAGGCTATCGTGGTGTGGCTGCCGCAACGGTCGTGGCTGGTGCGGGCTTTTTGGCCAGGGTGTCCTGACGCGGTCGCTGGACCGGCAGTGGCTGTGGATAGGGCACGGTGTAGTTGCGATGGTTGTGGCGGTGATGTGTTGTGTCTGTGATGATGGTTGTGTCTGTGGTGATGGTTGTGGCTGGGATGATGGTTGTGGCTGGGGTGATGGTTGTGGCTGGGATGATGGTAGTGTCTGGGTGATGGTTGTGTCTGTGGTGATGGTTGTGTCTGTCGTGATGGTTGTGTCTGGGGTGATGGTTGTGTCTGTCGTGATGGTTGTGTCTGTCGTGATGGTTGTGTCTGGGATGATGGTTGTGTCTGTGGTGATGGTTGTGTCTGGGATGATGGTTGTGTCTGTGGTGATGGTTGTGTCTGTCGTAATGGTTGTGTCTGTCGTGATGGTTGTATCTGGGGTGATGGTTGTGGCTGGGGTGATGGTTGTGTCTGGGGTGATGGTTGTGTCTGGGGTGATGGTTGTGGCTGGGATGATGGTTGTGGCTGGGTGATGGTTGTGGCTGGGTGATGGTTGTGGCTGGGGTGATGGTTGTGTCTGTCGTGATGGTTGTGTCTGGGGTGATGGTTGTGGCTGGGGTGATGGTTGTGTCTGTCGTGATGGTTGTGTCTGGGGTGATGGTTGTGTCTGGGGTGATGGTTGTGGCTGGGATGATGGTTGTGGCTGGGATGATGGTTGTGGCTGTGGTGATGGTTGTGTCTGTCGTGATGGTTGTGTCTGGGGTGATGGTTGTGTCTGGGGTGATGGTTGTGGCTGGGATGATGGTTGTGTCTGTGGTGATGGTTGTGGCTGGGATGATGGTTGTGTCTGGGATGATGGTTGTGGCTGGGGTGATGGTTGTGGCTGGATGATGGTTGTGTCTGGGTGATGGTTGTGTCTGGGGTGATGGTTGTGGCTGGGGTGATGGTTGTGTCTGTCGTGATGGTTGTGTCTGGGATGACGGTTGTGTCTGTGGTGATGGTTGTGGCTGGGATGATGGTTGTGGCTGGGGTGATGGTTGTGGCTGGGATGATGGTTGTGTCTGGGGTGATGGTTGTGTCTGGGGTGATGGTTGTGTCTGGGGTGATGGTTGTGTCTGTGGTGATGGTTGTGGCTGGGATGATGGTTGTGGCTGGGGTGATGGTTGTGGCTGGGGTGATGGTTGTGTCTGTCGTGATGGTTGTGTCTGGGGTGATGGTTGTGTCTGGGGTGATGGTTGTGGCTGCGATGATGGTTGTGGCTGGGATGATGGTTGTGGCTGTGGTGATGGTTGTGTCTGTGGTGATGGTTGTGGCTGGGATGATGGATGTGGCTGGGATGATGGATGTGGCTGGGATGATGGTTGTGGCTGTGGTGATGGTTGTGTCTGTCGTGATGGTTGTGGCTGGGATGTTGGTTGTGTCTGGGGTGATGGTTGTGGCTGGGATGTTGGTTGTGGCTGGGGTGATGGTTGTGTCTGTGGTGATGGTTGTGTCTGGGGTGATGGTTGTGGCTGGGATGATGGTTGTGGCTGTGGTGATGGTTGTGGCTGCGATGATGGTTGTGGCTGCGATGATGGTTGTGGCTGGGGTGATGGTTGTGGCTGGGATGATGGCTGTGTCTGGGGTGATGGTTGTGTCTGGGGTGATGGTTGTGTCTGGGGTGATGGTTGTGTCTGTGGTGATGGTTGTGGCTGGGATGATGGTTGTGGCTGGGGTGATGGTTGTGGCTGGGGTGATGGTTGTGTCTGTCGTGATGGTTGTGTCTGGGGTGATGGTTGTGTCTGGGGTGATGGTTGTGGCTGCGATGATGGTTGTGGCTGGGATGATGGTTGTGGCTGTGGTGATGGTTGTGTCTGTGGTGATGGTTGTGGCTGGGATGATGGATGTGGCTGGGATGATGGATGTGTCTGGGGTGATGGTTGTGTCTGTGGTGATGGTTGTGGCTGGGATGATGGTTGTGGCTGGGGTGATGGTTGTGGCTGGGGTGATGGTTGTGTCTGTCGTGATGGTTGTGTCTGGGGTGATGGTTGTGTCTGGGGTGATGGTTGTGGCTGCGATGATGGTTGTGGCTGGGATGATGGTTGTGGCTGTGGTGATGGTTGTGTCTGTGGTGATGGTTGTGGCTGGGATGATGGATGTGGCTGGGATGATGGATGTGGCTGGGATGATGGTTGTGGCTGTGGTGATGGTTGTGTCTGTCGTGATGGTTGTGGCTGGGATGATGGTTGTGTCTGGGGTGATGGTTGTGGCTGGGATGATGGTTGTGGCTGGGGTGATGGTTGTGTCTGTGGTGATGGTTGTGTCTGGGGTGATGGTTGTGGCTGGGATGATGGTTGTGGCTGTGGTGATGGTTGTGTCTGTCGTGATGGTTGTGGCTGAGATGATGGTTGTGTCTGGGGTGATGGTTGTGGCTGGGATGATGGTTGTGGCTGGGGTGATGGTTGTGTCTGGGTGATGGTTGTGTCTGGGGTGATGGTTGTGTCTGTCGTGATGGTTGTGGCTGGGATGATGGTTGTGGCTGGGGTGATGGTTGTGTCTGGGGTGATAGTTGTGTCTGTCGTGATGGTTGTGTCTGGGGTGATGGTTGTGTCTGGGGTGATGGTTGTGTCTGGGGTGATGGTTGTGGCTGGGATGATGGTTGTGTCTGTGGTGATGGTTGTGGCTGGGTTGATGGTTGTGTCTGTGGTGATGGTTGTGGTCGGGGTGATGGTTGTTTCTGGGGTATTGGTTGTGGCTAGGATGAAGGTTGTGGCTCGGATGATGGTTGTGGCTGGGATGATACTTGCGTCTGGGGTGATGGTTGTGGCCGGGGTAGTGGGTGTGGTAATCATTGGGCGTCTGGGCCGCACGTTTACCGGCCAGCCCAGGCGTGCCGGGCGGGCTGGCCGTGGAACTGCCACTGATGAGGAGATGACGGCGCTGGGCCAGGCGGCGCTGGGGGTGATGGATAATGGGCGTGGGTACCGGGGTCCCTGGCGGCCCCCCCCCCCCGACCCTCCGCGTGTGCGGGCGTGGAGCCTGCATACAGTAAACCGCTTTAACCACCTTTAATAAACATTGGACACGCCGGGCTGACCGCCGTGTTAAAAGGTTCCCTCCCCCGGGGACGACGAACTTAGACAGCCGTGCAGAATCGGAAATGGGCTTTTCGACGCTCCAAAGACGGACGCTTTTGTCGGCGCTGTCCGGCCGCGAGCGGTGGCCTAGGGAGAGGGGGGGGGCTCCCTCTAACGAGCCGACTGATATTGGTGCCACCTGGCCCCCCCCCCCCCTCTCTCTCCGAGGGCCAAGCCGGCCGGGCCGCCGCAGCTTGTGGGGGCGGCGAGGGCTGGCGGGTGGCGAGCGAGCGAGCAGGGGTCTTTGTTTACGGTGCGCTCGTTCGCAAACAAGTTTTGCTTTGATTTGCCAGCTTTTTTATTACTATGACTGAGGAATGCATCTGGAGCAGATTGCACGCGTTAATGATTGCATATGCCCGCTTCTGCCGCCGTGCGTGAACACATCTGCCAAGCGGATTTTTAGAAAAACGAAACACGCTGCCGGGTGTGCCGGGTGCGGTGGGGTTTTTGTTGTTGTTGTTGTTGCAAGGGGCCGTGGAGGAAAACTTGCGCGCGCCTGCGAACGTTGCCACGGGGAACATTTTAAGGGGTCGCGTACGGTTTGGGTGTTTCTGGATTAATTTTTAGGATAAACAATCGCCCCGCCGCCATGGTGGCTGCAGATGCATCGGCGGGAGATGTTTGTCATTCCACTTACGGGCTCGAGAGCAAACCAGAAGGCAATGCCAGGGTTTAGTATTCCTCTCAATTCACAGCGCATTGTCAATCTACTGGATGAAGATCTGCTCCTCCTCCCCCCCCCCCCCCATGCCGTGCCGGGTCGTGGCGATTGTGTGACCATACTTCACCACACCACTCAGAGTGGGTTTGATCAAGGTGTGTTCAGGATTAGCTAAATAACAAAATTCGGCAAAAATACATAACCCTTCTCATAATATATATTTATTTTAAGGTGGCATAACCTGACCTTGGAGAGTGGTCAGAAACTGTTGAAAGGAGTGGTTGGGGGTTATGATTGTCCGCAAGATATATTGATCGATGGACGGCTTCTTCGCTCGGTGCTCTTCGCCCTCCGTTCGTCGGTCGCTACTCCGACCAAGAGGCTGCGGTCTGTCTTGTAGTGGAAAGAAGAAAATTCGTCGAATGCAAACCGACCCCGTCGAAAACTTTCCCATCGATCTCAGAACTTTTCTTGCCATCCCAGAAGTCACTTGCTCGCCCCTGCAACACGCAACACCGAAGAAGAAGAAGAATCAACGAGGGGTGTTTATTCGCCATGCCGCTTTCAATTCCAGAAGAAAAAGGGAGAACGAGGATGAGTCACCGGACGAGTCTCCGGACGCGCACGCTCGCCTTCCCGCGTGCGCGGCCGTGGAGGCGAGACGGCTGGATGTGACACAACACCACGGGGACATTAAGAGGGCGGGGAGCGTGGGCCCGTGTTTGGAGTGTGCCGTGAGACGCGGGCGGTGTCACAATATTGCGAAAGGCTCCGCGATGTTTCGGCGCGGCTTGCGCTGTCCGCGGCCACCGAGCGGCGGTGTCAGGAGACGTCGCGGCCCACGCAAAAACAATTCCCTCCCAGAGTGCCGAGCGGCGGTTGTGGGGGGGGGGTCGGTGTCTGCGACGGTACGGCGATCGGCCTGGCAGCAACTCGCTTCGCTTTCCGCATTTTACTCGGCCCAGGGCCGGTTCAGATATTCATCGCCGTTGTTGGCCGTGAGTGGGAATCGGGTCGCTGGGTACGTGTAGCGCAACTCGCTGACCATTACGCTACCGCTTCGCACATCAACACAACGCACGCATGCGCACACACGCGCACGCACACGCGAACACAATCGTGCGCGCATAATGCATGCTCGCACACAATACGCACGCACGCAATTACGCGCCCGTGCACAGATGCACACCGCCACGTGCGCACGTACACATCGACACAATGCCCACACACACACACACACGCACCCTAACCTCGCATCCAGCGGTCGATTTTTCTGTCTCGGGGTCAGAGCGTGAGATGCACGCTCTACATCGGTGCAATTCACGTTATGTGCTTGCTAAGCCTATTATCCGCCCGCTTGAATTTTATAAAAATCTGGCCCGAAGCAATTGAAACAAGCAGCAGGGGGAGAAATGGATTGGAGGGTTTTCTCAGCCGCAAAGAAATTTTGTCTGTAATGTACCCTGATCCGCTCGTTTTGAATTAGGGCTGTGCCTAAGTGGCGTTTCCCCCCCACCCCACACGCCCCCCCCCCCCCCCCCCCGGCACGCGTTGTCTGGCAGGTGTACGCCGCCTCCGCCGGCCGCTACGCCAAGGGCATCGCCGACATGATGGCGGGGCTCAACCTGCAACACGAGGGACGTCTGCACAGCGGGATAGGTGAGTGTCTCTGTCATCGCCCGCCGCCCCTCCCCCCAACGAGAGCGGCCGACTCGGCGAGGCCGTCGTAGGTTCCCGCCCGAGTTTGCCGGGTCGGGGATCGCGGCCGCCGGCCCGCCGGCCCGCTGGAGCCCGCGGCGGCCACCGGAGGCGGCTCGTGAGAGGCCCCTGGTGACAAGGCGGCCGAACTGCGGGTCCGCGCTCGTCACGATCCGAATGAGAGTCTTCATTCAGGCTGCAGGAGGAATTCCGCTGAGCTATGAAGCTTCTTTTTTTGAACAGATGTTCAGTTTGGGGCGGGTCAACGAGTTATGACGGCACACGATACAAAAAACAACAATAGGAGTGCAAAATAGAACAAGTCGCTCACTATAAATAATACGTAAATAAATCACTACATTTTTTTTTCCTTTTAATAAACAATGCTGCACGCTGTCACTTTTGTTTACTTTCGTCAGTGTCCACTAATTTTCTTAATATTGGGTTTATTTCCCTCCCCCCCGAACTGTCGCTGGTTCGTAATGCGTCGTGAGGTTTGTTTCCCCATCTTCACCCGGTGGGTTCCACATCAGCCACCACCCCCCCCCCCCCCTCACCGAGCCCAGCCTGCTCACTCGAGACGACCCCGAGTGACGCACCTCTGAGCTGCAGTCGGCACTGAGGCACCCTCGCTGTAAACTTTGGCCTCTCCTGAGAACACGGTGCCGCGTCAGAAGACGTTGTCTCTAGATGACGTTATTTATAAATAACGTTTATTTCTAAATAACGTTTACGCTAAATAGCGTCTTTTGTGTTTATACGCAACTGGATTTAAATTCACAACTGTATCGTTTTTCATATTCTTAGCTCTTTCGGTAAAGTCACGTTGAAGGGAAACAATAAAATAATAAAATATATATAAAACAATAAAAATTCTCACGACGTTTCGACCATAACACGACCGTTTGTGTTATGGTCGAAACGTCGTGAGAATTTTTATTGTTTTATATATATTTTATTATTTTATTGTTTCCCTTCAACGTGACTTTACCGAAAGAGCTAAGAATATGAATTACTGCAGCCACGACAGCTTTAAATCAAAATTTTATATAGTTTTTAGTTATTTTTTAACACCTTCATCACAAGGTGTATCTTTGCGAGCGCAGCCAGCATCGGCGCTTGCGACGTGCAATTGCTGGCGTGCGGTTCCGAACGGGGCGTGGGGGCACGGCTATCGGGCAAATCATCCTCCGCGTTCCACGATCACGGGGAGTGCCACGCACCACGATCGTGGGGAGTGCCACGCACCACTATCGCGAGAGTGCCACGCACCACGATCGCGGGGAGTGCCACGCCAGTCCTTCCATCGGCACCGCGAGCGGCCGCGCTCGCGGTGTCGAAATTTCCCACCCTGTCACCACAAGGCTGTTCATTCCCAGCGCAGAGTGGGGGGCTCGGTGGAAACCCCCCTCCCGCCACTGCTCCCCACACCCCCCCCCCCAGCGCCACCGTGACCTCTACCCGCTGTTTGGGCGACGGCGCGAGCGGCTTAAACGGCCAATTTGTCACCGGACGCTCTCCGGGTAATGGCCGCTCGCGCGCCGCTGACCGCACGCGCCGCTCGCCGCGCGACCCCGGCGGGCCCCGGGCACGCCGAGCCCGCCGCTCTCTCTCTCTCTCTCGCCGAGCGTCGGCGTGATAGAGAGGCGTCGCGGCGCTTGCGGCGTGACACCGGCAGCCCCGGCTGCCACTCATGCATATGCTGTGGTCAGCCAATTACCGCGGGGGCCAAGTTTTTTTTAATTGGCGCCATATTATTTTCGAATTCCACGGCTGCCACTTGCCGGCGCTCTCACGGGGCGCCGGTCGCGGCGCTACAAGGCTCCTGCGCGCCACGCTAATGACTGACAGCGTATTATCCTTTGCCGGGCTCGGGGTGCTGTTCCTATCGTGTAACTCATCAACACCGATGTAATTGCCTTGTTAAACTCGTTTGCTCTTTTGCACGGATTGTAGTGAAAAAAAATAACCCGGCGCGTGCCGGCGTGCCTGCCGGTGCGGGGTGGCTCCGTTCGCCACTCGCCGCTGTCCCACCGTCCCTCGCACCCAAATATTACGTGTAATGGAATTCCGGCGCGGGCTAATGATGAAGCTGTCGGCGGGGCAGCAGCCTCGGCATACAAATTGGGTTTGGGTTTTTTTTTTTTTAACCCCTGTGCAAGCAACGCTATTGTGCAGCGTCTCTTTGTTAATTCCCTTGTGATTTTCAGGCCGGGGCTGCCGTAGTTTAGCGAGTGTGTGTGTGTGTGTGCGCGAGCGGGGTTTTTTTTTTATTCGCAGCCGGGAGTTTTGCGCGCAATTGCCTCCGTCGTCGAGTCTTGGAGTCGCAGCACCGTCCTCCGTTGCGAGTTCTAGATCGCGCCGCCGGCACGGGGAGTAATCACAGAGCTGTGGTGCATTGTGGGTTCCATCGAGGATCTGCTCCTCCCGGCCGACTTTGGCGTCGTTTCGAGAGAGAGCACAGGGCCGCACTTGTGATGAGATTGATAGGAGAGCGTGTGTGTGTTTGTGTTTGCGTCATAGCCTGCAACTGTAACACCTGCCAGTCTTCCACACTTGAGATGATCGCCTCAAGATGCACCTAGTCTGGCACAAGCATTGTGGTGACATTACCGCCGCTTAGTGGCGGCTGGCGGCTGTTGCGTCACGCCCACGCGTGGGCGACTATGCGTGGGAGTTTGGAGTGCACGTGTGAGTGACTGCGTGAGTGCCTTAGTGAGTGCGTTAGTGCGTGTGTATGCATATATTGTGGGGAGCAGTAGTGTCGCGGTTGGCACGCTGCGCTACGAACCCCGTGACCCAAGTTCGATTCCCGCTCAGGGCCAACACCTCTGTACCGGTCATGGGCCTCCCCTAGGTTGACTCAGCCTCAAATGAGTTACCTGGTGCAGTGTGTAAACATCGCCACTCGGGAGACAAAGGCGGCCGGGCGTGGTGCTGGCCACCCACCCCCTCGTGTGCCTTACTGGCCTTCATAGGTGCTCGCTAACAGCACTTACACCAATAGTTTGTTCAGGCTATTCGGGGATCTTTATATCCATGCGTTGGTGCGAGACTACCGGGGATGGCCACGTGGCATGGTCGAATTCTCGCTGTGGAGGAGAGGTTGCCATTCCTCTGTCGGGAGATGGACCGGTACCGCCTGGACCTCTGTGGAATGCAAGAGGTCCGGTGGGCTCGTTCTGGCTCCAGTCACCACGAGGGGTGGACAGTCCTCTACTTGGAGAAAAAAAAATCTGCCAAACAACAGAGAGTGGCATTGCCTCTAAACAAAAGAATGAAGAGTGGGCGCGTGCATTGTGTGCATGTATGCATGCAAGCTAGTGTGTGTGTGTGTATGTGTGCGTGATCTGTTGCCCTCATTATTTCGAGGGCTGGGAGAGGCACACACCAACGTACGTCTCACAGTGTCTCCAATCGTCCGTTTTCAAACGAATGTAATGATAATTAGAGGTGTACCGATACATTGCCATAGCAATTAAAATCAATTCCTAACGTGCATGATGCGACCATCAAATCTTGCTCGTGTGCAGCGATCATTATCAGCCCGTATACGCTTTATGTAATTGGCTCTCGAAGCGTCGATACGTTATTTTAAACATATAATCGATTCTTAAATCGCATCGCCACCCCAAATCGTGACATATCGTTGACTTAAAGAGGCGGCAAATAATGAAAGCATTGATTAAACAAACGTCCTTTCATATTCTTTGGGTCTTTTGGTAAAGTCACATAGGTGGGTAGGTTAAAAGAAAACCTACCTACATGGCTTTACGGAAAGACCCAAAGAATATGAATTCCTGCAGTCACGAAAGCTTTAAGTCAAAACGTCCTTCATTTACACTGGAAATCCTCAGAACATTAAGTCCTATTCAGGATAGTCCAGCCTTGGAATGTTTGGTCAGTTCCTTTTCAAGGAGCGGTTTCTCATGTCAGCGTTCATAAATTAAGACACAAAAGGCTGATTCAGCTCACCTGCCACCTGCTTAGAGCACAAACACTATTAGACCCTGCCCTGCATTAAAAACAGTGTTCAGCCAGAGAACGCTGAGTGGCAAGCTAATAAATAAATTGCCGCGCTGCTCACTTGCGATAGCTCCGAATGGGCACCTATTCTCACGATGTGATGCCGAGAGCAGAATTGGGTTGAAATTATCGGCAAAAGCACAAAATCGCCTTGCTTCGTTATGCACCTTGATTTGCTTGGCCGTGTCGTTGCGAGCATGGCCGTGCCGTGGCGAGCGTGGCCGTGCCGGTGCGAGCCGAGGCTGCCGTGTGCCTGTGGCCCGGTAATGCCAGCGGGCCGCCTGGCGGCGTCTACCCTTGGAGCGCCCTCCCCGCCGAGTCCGGAAAAATTAAACCGGCGCTCCGTCCTCAAGCCTGAGGGCCTAAGTAACAGCCTCTGGCCTGGCTAGCCCAAAACCCCGCAGCCCCTCCAGATTCCTGACCAGTTTCTGCTTTTGCACCGCGCTCTCGTGCGCCAATGTGTGGCCCTGATTTAAAATACTTACAGCGGCAGTAATGGCGATTAGGAACGTTGCAGCCTTCCTCGCTGTCACCCCGTGGTCGGGAGGGCGGCTGGGGATGTTCGGGGCGGGGGGGGGGGGTTCACCCGGGACAGGGCGACGCCTGCAGGCTCCACCCAGGCGCTGTTGACTCGGACGATGACACAGCGCGGTTGACACGGGCACCGGTGCAAGGGATGAAACGATGGGAGGGGGGGGGTGGGGCCCTGTTCACCTTCCCGCATCTTCGTAACCCGGCACCTGCGGCCCACTGGCCCGTGGGCCCCGGTGCGGTCGCACCGCCCGCACCCTCGATAGCTACGCCACTGTGCAGGTACATTCCTCGTGTCTCCCTGCGAGTGTCTATGCGGTCCAGTGGTGGAGCGTGGGTGGCGTGGCGCCCGGTGCAGTTGCACCGCCTGCACGCCGGAAAGCTCCACCCGCCGTGCGCGGTGG